TTGTGTGTGTGCATGCGCATGCATCGAGGCAGAACTCTGCCGTGCACGATACAGAGAGCAGAGGAGAATTGTAAACGTGTGACCATGTAGAGACAGAAACGACATGCCGTCATGTAAATAAGATAAATAACATAAGGTTATTTAGTTTGTTTAATAAAATGACAAGGTATAGACCTGCTCTATAGGAAAGGTAAGCTTAAATGACTTCCAGGGTTCCAGACTAGAGGGTGACAGGGGTGGATTTTCAGTCCTGTCCCATCCCACTCCCACAAAAATAATCCCATCCCATCTCAATCCCATGAAAAAGAAAAAAAAAAATCCTGTCCCGTCCCAATCCCACAAGAATGACTCCTGTCCCATCCCGCTCCCGTGTTGTGTTTCAGTTCCAATTAAAAAAAAAAAAAAAATACAGTACATGGATCACACAGTGCCTACCTTAGTTGAATATAAACCCAAATATGACATCTAATGTTGTGTTTTGATGTTTATTGCCTAATTATTTTTACATTCACGCCACCTTGAAGCTGTTCAGAATGATGTGGTCAGACAACACGTCATAAGAACCAGTTCTGAGAGAGAAAAATGTAGTTAAAGTATTGCAGTAAAAGTAGTGTTTGGTTCCTCTGACTGATATTATTATATATGACATCATTAGATTATTAATATTGAAGCATCAGTGTTAGAGCAGCATTTTACTGTTGTTGCTGGAGGTGGAGCTAGTTTCAACTACTATATAAAAACTTGACTAATTCCGCCCGCTCCCGTTGACTTTTTTTCCCATCTTGTCCCAATCACGTGACGAATAGTGAAACTGATTCCCATTCCATGGGAATCCCACAGGAATCACATGACCTGTGGGATTCCCGAAAAAATGTCAGCCTCTACTCCAGACTAACTTTTTTTAGTAGGAGCACTGTAGCCCCTAACTGAACATTTTAGGAGTACAAGCAGAAAATTTAGGGGAACAGTAGGGCTGCTGGATTATGGAAGAAATCATAATCACGATTATTTTGGTCAAAATTGAAATCACGATTATGCAAACGATTATGCGGCACACGTGATGACTTGCATGACGGCATGTCATTTCTGTCTCGACATGGTCGCACGTTTACACTTCTCCTCTGCTCTCTGTATCGCGCACAGTGGAGTTTGGCCCCGATGCGCACACACACACGTGCGCGTGCGCGCGCACACACACACACGCAGACTATCCTGTCTCGCTCTCCCATTTTCCGCACGCTGTTTTTGAAATCTCCTGCGATCACCTGCCCCTCGCATTATTTGTAGTTATCCAACTTGACTGGCTCGTGGAGTGAATAGAGAGAGGACAGGAGGGGGCGGTATTGCGCATGCGCGGTTTCCGTAGAAGACAAAATAACACATCCAGGCGTCCGTGACCAAAAATCGTTTACCCTTGATTTCATTAATTTTGAAATCGTTTGACCTCAAAATCATAATCGCGATCACCAGACAATTAATTGCACAGCCTTAGGGCACACCTTAAATTGTCCTGCACTGCAATTATTCACATTTTTTTTTGCCATTTTAACTGTATCATAAACTATGTGTAGTCTACTGTCTATTAACATTGGACTGTTTTAATTATTTAAGTATTTAACAACACAGAGACTGGTGGTCAGTGATTTATGAGGATTCTTAAAATAACATATGTACAGATAGTGGTGGGCGATAAAATGATAACATATTGTCTTGCGATAAACACAAGGAAAGCCACGTGAGTTACCCTTGGAGTTGGGCTGTACAAGGTTGGTTGCATGACCACACTCACTTGCTCCCTGGTAACCTAGCAACGGTGTCATGCAAACAGCTAACAACGTCAGGTTTGGTTGCACCATCCTCATGTGTGAACACAAGTTGTGTTCAGGTCCGCCTATTAGCCGCAACTTTGGGCTTGTTTTTTTGTAAAGTCGCTTACAAATATTGGTAGTCTCCAGTTGTTTTTTGAACTTGTTTCTAAAGTGGAGTTGCTTATATGGGCTTGCTCTCTAAACATCGCCTTTTTCTATATATATCCGTCTAATAAGTTATTTAAACGCATGATAATATGTCAGGCTGCAGGATGTTTCCACAGCTCCCCTCCCTCCACCCTCGCCTTCTCCGCATACACACAGGTGACGGTCAGTCAATGAGACTTTTCACATTTAAATTGCACGATTATTGGAGGTTCTTTAACTATTTTGCTAACAAGTAGGCGAAATATGGAAAGAATACAATACAGATATGTAGAAAGAAAGAGGATTAAAAGATTCAACTTCAAGAGGGGGGAGATTCAAAGGCAGTGTGCAGATTCTGATTCTGTGTGAAATATGTATTCATCATTCTGATCTTGTTCAGCATACCAGTACTGTTACAGTGAAAGTAAAATGGCTCGTTTTATGCAACTTCTTTACTTTCATTTTCATTCATTCATTTATTCTCTCCACGTTTTTGGTCGGCTAGTTGGTTTGGTAGAGTTCAAGGGCAGTAAATATAATGTATTTGTAAAGTAATTTTGGTTGCTGGTCCTGGTTGCTTGTTTCTCTCTATTTTTAGTGCCTTAGTTTTTTTTCCTTCTCTACTCTAGTGTTTTATTGTTTCTTTTATCTTTGTTTCCCTCACTGAGACCTGAGTACAATTTTAGTTGCCTTCATGTACCAACATGTTCCGGTAGTGACAATAAACTTCCTTGAATCCTTGAAACTGGCAACAATGAACACAACATAGCATGGAGTGAGTTGCAAGAATGAGTGCGGATAGCGAGGAAATAGTCGAGTTGTAGTTTTTATACCATCTTGTGTATGTTCATTTATTTGAGTGTTTTCTAATGGTTGTGTTGACATTACATTTTTCTCCGTGTGCCTTGACTGATGACTGTGATTGAAATCAGAAGAAAGCTATTGCGTTTAAAATAAATGTGTTGAATTTTTTTTTATCTTAAATAGGTTATATAAAAATTATCAATAATTAATAATAATAATAATACATTTTATTTATATAGCGCTTTTACAGCTCTCAAAGACCCTTTACATTTAAAATCAAAGAAAAGAAGTACATACATGTAAGTGCAAAGACATAAACAGAAGACGAGGACAATATAAAACAACAAGGTGCAAAAGCATAGTGCAAAACAAAGAAAAGGAGGGCACATGAGGAACCGAGAACGAAAAGCTAATGTTAAAGGTTAAAGGCGGATTTGAAAAGGTGGGTTTTGAGGAGTGATTTGAAGGTGGATGGATTTGGACAGTCACAGATGTGTATAAGGAGGGTGTTCCAGAGGGAGGGGGCGGCTATGGAGAAGGCTCTGTCGCCCCAGGTTCTGTGCTTGGTCCTGTGTGGGGGTGAGAGGAGGTTTTTGTCGGATGATCGAAGGTTGCGGGAGGGAGTGTGGTGGTTGAGCATGTCTGTGAGGTAGGAGGGGGCCTGGCTGTGGAGGGCTTTGTGGGTGAGGAGGAGGATCTTGAAATTGATTCTGTACGGGACAGGGAGCCAGTGAAGGAGCCAGTGAAGGTTTAATTATCGTTATCACCCCTTAATGTAATGGTAGGGGGAAATTTGGGTTTTGTGCAGAAGTCCTGCACGTAACCCGCAAAAAGCTGTGTAAGGGGTAAAAATTTGCATATATGTATATGCAAATACATATATGCAAAGGGGTAAATATATTTTTTATTTTTCAAAATAAAACAGTGAAAAAGACTTGAATTTATAGGTGTTGGTGGTTGCAGCTTTGACTTAGACATAATGACTGATAACAGGTTGTTCTAGTACTGAGCTTTACAAGTGTGGGTGGGTGTGGGTTTTCAAAAAATGGACCCGTGCAGGACTATGCACTAGTGTACTATTTGTCACTGCAGGTCTTATTCTGATTGGTTCATGTGTAGACATAAGTTGTAGCAATAGTCACATGGAATGGTTTTGGTCCTAAATTTTTTTTTGATGAAGGCTGTCTTTGGTCTCAAAAGTTCAAAATCATTGCGTAGATCTAGGAAGATTGGATTTTGATTGACAAAAGACTCCACCATGAATCTTTTACAATTGTCATCATATTTTAGCTCATCACATGATAAATAAGAGTCAAAATCCTACCAAGTTTTTTTTCTGCATTTTTTGCCATGTGAGCAGACCGAAACATTGCAAGTTAGGACTTACTACAGAGCCAAAATAATCCTAGGTTAATATTATATTTTATTTAAAAAAAACAGAAATACACCTGGTCAGGTTGTTGAAACATACAGTATAACATCCAGTCAAAATGTGTACTTTCATGGGGATATTTATGTGTCTATCAGTGTGTGTTTGTCTCAGCTCCAGTAAGCAGCATAGTTTTGTGTCTTTGAGTAGTTCCATGTGAAGGTGATTTGGAGGCGTGGCGGCAGACTAAGTGCTGTGAGAATGACTTCCTTCCCAGGTCTCTTGAGCCCTGTCACTTCTGAAGGCTTCCTGCTTAAATCATCTATTCTCCCTGCCAATCTGCAGCGCAGCCACATCCAAAGACATCTGCCGACAGCTCCATCAGAGCTCTCCCGATTGCCTGCCTGACCGCCCGCCGCCATCGCTCATGCAACCCACAGAAAAAGACGCCCCCCCACCATTTCTTCACGTCCCCTTCCCTTTCTGTCCTCGTCTTCCTCTCCTCTCCTCCTCCCTCCCGAGGGCTTTGAACTTTTTATATTAATTCTTAGCAGAAATTTCTTCCCCTCCCCAGCCTACCCCCTGTTAAGCTTGATATTTGTTTGAAGTCACTGTCTTTAGACTTGCAAGGACACAGACCCCGCCCCATCTCCTCCTTGCCTCCTCCTTCTTGAATCCCTAAACCCGACCATTCTATTTTGTCCTCGTGTGGGGTTAATTTGTATGAATTTGTCCCAGGCTATCTCTTTTACCCTTATGTTTCTCGCTCTCTGTCTCAACCTTCTGTCCGTCCCCTCTTTTTTACTTGTTCTGCTCTCCTCCTTTCAAATGCCAGTGTTTGACATCCACTTCCTGCTGGTTGGTTTTTACAGGCCATCAGAGTAATGGAGGTACCGGTGGTAAAGATAAGAGAAGGCGAGGCGGGTGCCGAGGAGAAAATGATGATAAAATCTATAGTCAATATGGTACAGTACAGTGTCTGCCTCTGTGTGTGACTGTCTGACACTTTGATGGGAACTGGGGGAAGTGCTGCATGAGTCTCAATTCACACTGGGTACTCGCTCAATCGCTGTGCATGGCCAACTCACTGATGGTGAACTGATTTGTGGGTGAATATTTAAATGTAATTTTATCTGGATCGCTCTTTAACAGAGGTTGGCACTCAAATGTCAAATTACGCTTCTAGGTTGAAGAGTCATATGTAATTTATTTAAAAGGCTTTCTTCTAAGCTTTATGGCATTTGAAAATGGGCAAGTTCCAGCTGTTACAGTTGCAGGCAGTCCTGTGAAAATCTGTTTGCACAATAGACTGTACGTATAGACCCCCACCGTACAATAACAAACCCAAAATATCCTGGATACGGTCTTGCGCTGGTGCCTTAACTTTGAGTTTAGATTCTGCGCTGTAGTGATCTCTGGTGATGTCACATTCCTGCCTGTACACCTGTCCGACCTGTTGCAATAAGTGCCACTGATTGCAAGCACACCAACTGGCACACATAGCTGTCAATCAGGATGTCAAACCCCATTCCTATGATATCAAATAACTAATTAAAGCCATTCCTATCAGAAAAACGAACATTTGAAAATACAGCAGTGCAATCAGAACTACTTGAAATGACAGAAACCATCATTGGGAAAATTTAATTTGACATGTATTTAGAGTTTGTTAGTTGGGTTGCCGGTTTTATGGTATACTGTAATATGAAAGTTAATGGATATCATAACGTGTACATTTCAAAAAGAAAACTTTTTAAACATAGCTTCATTTAAAAACAGTTTTAGGTTTTAATTAAAGTAATAAAACATTTGTTTTACATAAAATAATCCCTCTTTTTTAAAAGTCATTCTGACTAATAATAATAATTCAATTCAATTTTATTTATAAAGCCCAATATCACAAATCACAATTTGCCTCACAGGGCTTTACAGCATACGACATCCCTCTGTCCTTAAGACCCTCACAGCGGATAAGGAAAAACTCCCCAAAAAAAACCCCTTTAACGGGGAAAAAAAAAAACGGTAGAAACCTCAGGAAGAGCAACTGAGGAGGGATCCCTCTTCCAGGACGGACAGACGTGCAATAGATGTCGTACAGAACAGATCAGCATAATAAATTAACAGTAATCCATATGACACAATGAGACAGAGAGAGAGAGAGAGAGAGAGAGAGAGAGAGAGAGAGATGCAGGTAATGACAGTAGCTTACAACAACATTAATGAAAGTAATAATAGTATAGTTATAGTTCTGGCTACTGTGGTACAATATGTTGAAAGTATGTATTAATATCAGACAGTATACTTGTGTGACAATAGTCATATGTGTATAATAACAGTAGAAGTATGACTAATGACTAATGATGGCAGCAGCAGCAGGAGGCATCTGGCAGGACCACGGCAGCAGCACAACCACACACGTCACACTGTCCAGGCACCGCTGCGGTATGAGTTATTCTGAGAGACAGTGGAGCACAAAGGCTCCGGAGAAGAAGCCGAGTTAGTGACATCCAGAATGGCCGAGTTAGCAAGATGCAGTAATAGGATGAGAGTGAGAGAGAGAGAGAGAGAGAGAGAGAGGGAGAGAGAGGGAGCCCGGTGTATTATAGGGGGTCCTCCGGCAGACTAGGCCTAAGTCAGCCTAACTAGGGGCTGGTACAGGGCAAGCCTGAGCCAGCCCTAACTATAAGCTTTATCAAAGAGGAAAGTCTTAAGTCTAGTCTTAAATGTGGAGACGGTGTCTGCCTCCCGGACCGTAACAGGAAGATGATTCCACAGGAGAGGAGCCTGATAGCTGAAGGCTCTGGCTCCTGATCTGCTTTTGGAGACTTTAGGGACCACGAGTAACCCTGCGTTCTCAGAGCGCAGTGTTCTGGTGGGATAATATGGCACTATGAGCTCTCTAAGATATGACGGAGCTTGACCATTTAGAGCTTTATAAGTTAACAGTAGGATTTTAAATTCAATTCTGGATTTTACAGGGAGCCAGTGCAGAGAAGCTAAAACAGGAGAAATATGATCTCTTTTCTTAGTTCCTGTTAGTACACGTGCTGCTGCATTCTGAATTAGCTGGAGAGTTTTTAAGGACTTACTAGAGCTACCTGATAATAGAGAGTTACAGTAATCCAGCCTTGAGGTAACAAAAGCGTGGACCAATTTTTCTGCATCTTTTCGGGTCAGGATAGGCCTAATTTTCGCAATATTACGCAGATGAAAAAATGCAGTCCGTGAGGTTTGCTTTAAATGAGAATTAAAAGACAAATCTTGATCAAATATTACTCCGAGGTTTCTTACGGTAGTGCTAGAGGCCAGAGCAATGCCATCTAGAGAAACTATGTCATCAGATAAAGAGTCTCTGAGTTGTTTGGGGCCAAGAACAATAACTTCAGTTTTGTCTGAATTTAACATCAGGAAATTGGTGCTCATCCAATTTTTTATGTCTTTAAGGCAGTTATGGAGTTTAGTTAATTGATTACTTTCTTCTGGCTTCATCGATAAATACAACTGTGTATCATCCGCATAACAATGGAAATTTATAGAGTGATTTCTAATGATGTAATACTGTGATACCGTGAAACCCCGATATATTCTGAGACCGCTATCATACCGTGAATACCATATTGTTGCAACCCTAGTTTTTAGTTTAGCTCATGTCCCATTGGCTAACATAGAGGGGGTGGGTTTTATGACTATTTAGTGCACTATTTAGTGAGTAGGGAGTGATTTCGGACACAGCCCTATACTCCAGCCTGCCAGCAGGGGTGATCCAGATGTTTTGGTTTCACTTCTGGGGAGCTGTGATGTTGTCCATCCTCATATAAAGTCTTAGGTTTTTACAAAAGATTTTATGAGATAAGTCTGAGTCTGTCACCATTAGCAATGCACCTGAAGCTATGATTTTGAGTGTCCTCTTCTGTTAAAGGGTTCAGCATTTTGTGAAATATGTAAATTAGCTTTCTCTCTGAGAGTGAGATGAGAAGATTGAAAATAACCTCATGTCTTTACAGAGCCAGAGTCAGGATATGTTTTTTGTGGTCACAATTTATTCTACTTGCCAGGACGTTTATGCAGCATCTCCAGCTAAAGTGCAGGTTGCCAGATATGGTTGGTGAGATTTTGGTCTCCCTGCAAAAGCATGATAGTATCAAATGTGACAACCTTACTGTGACAGCTAGCATGGCTGTAGACTAGGGATGCACCGAATATTCGGTAACCGAATATATCCGGCCGAATGTTGCAAAAAAACACACATTTGGTATTCAGTGGAATAAGTTAAAAGCAAGGCCGAATAATAGCGGCGTGTTTTGATAACGCAATCAAACAGCATGCTGTGACAGGCGGAGTAAAATGTCAGCAGTGTGGCGATCCGCCCGTCACGACACTCGCATTTGCGACTAAAAATAGTTTTGAGCGAGGAAAATAAGCTTAAATCATTCAGCACGCTATGCGAGCAGCCTACAGATTTCAACCAGCAGCAGAAACGAAAGGCGAATCCCATCGGTTGTGGGTTGAACGGGGGTCACAGACACAGACAGTAATACATTCCTGTCAAATACGGCGGCCATAGGCTTATTGCAACGGAGAAGTCGGCTCCAATAATTTCCTCTTTCGTTGGTGTCATGACTGCCCAAAAGTACCTGGACAGCCGAGCCAGCCGAACACAGGTATGTGATGTGTTTGAGGAGAAACGAGCTGTTCACGACCCACAAACCTCACCGCACTTTAGGGACTGTTCTTTACTTATGAAGGGACTTGTCAGGGGAGGAGGGTGGCTGGTTGATTCTTATTTTATTTATTTATTTTATTTTGATCCTCCCTATGTTCATCACTGATTGATGCTGTTTTTGAAGTATGAATAAGTCAATAAGTTATTTATTCCATTGAAATATCATTGATGTATTATAGAAAAGTGATTTATCTTTTTATAAATGACAAAAGGCACATCTGCCTCATTTTCGCTGTGGTATCGTGATACTACTCAGAACCATGATATTTTCACTGGTATCGTACAGTGGGTCCCAATATTGGTACCCTGACAACACTAATCTGGAGGGGGTTCATCTGCAAAAACTAATGAAAAACTAAACAACAATATTCGGTATTTGGCCAAGCGTTTAATATTATTCGGCTTCGGCCACAAATTTTCATTTCGGTGCATCCCTACTGTAGACTCTTAAGGCCCACCAGACTGACATCAAAGTACAAGCTGACACGAAAGCTGAACTGCCAATCAGAGTGATTTCGTTCACTGTTGGGCTCCGCCGTCTCCGACGCCAACTCAACATGCTAAATTGGTCAAAAAAAGCTAATGAGGGCCAACACTGCAGGACACACTGCAACAACAAGGGCGACAGATGCTCACTGACAGCCAAACATTGACTTGGTGTGTCAGGGTCTTTAGTCTGTTACATTTCTGTTATATACAGATCAAACAATAAGACATAACATGTTCACTAGTGAGCTTCAGAACTGTTGGTAGATGTAATTTTGAACACTGGACAGACCAGGCTAGGTATTTCCTGCTACTTCTAGTCTTACGCTAAGCTAGAGCGTGCTGGTATTGATCTGCTCATCTCACCTTCAGAAAGAAAGCGAAGTGTATTTCTCAAAATGTTAAAACTGTCCACATTAGCGTCTGAAACAACATGGATCTTAACATTGAATGATAAATGTAATTCTGACTCTGTGTGTGTCACGCTTCGCTGATGCCTCTTCACTTTGTCTTGTGTCACCTAATGGAACAAATGTTTTGGAGAAAATTTGTTTATATGTGCAGGTTTACAGGTACCACAAGTAATTTCATCCCTCTGGCACTGCCAGCTCTGCCCATAAGCAGTTTGACACTTAGTTTGTGGTTTAAATTTTGCTCTCTGTAATCGAAGCCATTGATTTTTAACAGTTCTATTCTGATTCAGAGTAACACATTATCTCATCTGAGAGAGCAGAATTGATTGTTTTCAAGCAGCACTGAGCATGGTTTCTGTTTGAGAGAGAGAGAGAGAGAGAGAGAGAGAGAGAGAGAGAGAGAGAGAGATTGTGTCTACTGTATGTGAAAGAGTAATAGTGATAGTGTAGTGCAGGCTTTTCTAAATCTATTTTTCTTGATGGATTGAAAATGTCTGCAGTGGTGTTAAAAGCTCTCCTGACCTTGGTACTTTGATAGGTAGACAATATTTCACAAAATAACAGTGAAAATCATTATTGAAATCCTTTTTAAACCGCTTACTGGCAACAAACTTTCTCATTTCAATCAGTCTTCATTTTATCACTACTTTTTGTGATGCAGTGTACTTACTGGCTTACACTTCTGTTAGGAACCAGGTATCAGGCGCGTTATTAAAACAAGGCAAATGTGCGGTTTCAAAACTGATTTCAAGGCCCCAAAACTTTGTTGATTCCTTATTTTTCTTACCATCAATAGATCTAAAGAAAATACCAAAACCAACAATGAACTGGTCATATTAATAAGAACTTTATGTATATCCCAAACCTGTAGAGGTCGTCTGAAATTAGATCAACAAAAATGTGCAATGATAATGAAAGTTACTTTATTGGAATTAATATGGTCTCAACCCCACATGGAAGTACAATTTCTTTTTCTGCTGCTTTGCAATTTGCAAGGCATTTGGTGCTGCGTACGATTTGTTGTAAGAGGCAGCCTTGTTCGTAAAAAGATCATTGAACTTCTCACTAGCTGCAGTCTAAGCTTGAGTATGCTTAGGTAAAAGTCTGTGTTCTTGTCACAGGTTAAGAGTGCCACGCTACTGCAACAACATAAAAACAGAAATAAAATCAAGCTTTCATCTCACATGGAATTTGGACATAGGCCATTTTGAGTTCTTTACTCTGCTTGACACAAAATCCCTAAATATCCTTACCAGGTCTTTCCATGTCTCTCTAGCCATGCTTTTGTAATGTTGGGTTTCCCACACATGAGTTTAAGTATTTGCAGTTGCCTGAAAATTAAAATGTCTGGCACCACAAATAGATTTTCTGTTTTTAGAGCTGGACTACTAGAAGCAATATTGGAATATATATGTATATAAGTTCGGTCATTTATAGGACCACACCAGTGTAGCGTAGGGCAAACTCCGGGTAGTGTCGGAGCAGCTGAACTTCAGGTGCATTGAAATTGAAACTTTATCGTTAATTCTGCTGGATCTAAAAGTTTGCATTCATTTGCAGCAGCTGCTCCTCTCATCCATTAATCTGATCTGATAAGCTCTGAAGGGGTCAACAGATCCATTATCCACCCCACAAGTCACAAACTGCTGCTGAGAAAAAAGGAAGCCATGGAGAGCTCCCCCTCCACTGCGTTCATGGGCCCACAAAAAAATTCAGACAAATAATGATACAGAAGTACACACAGGCATTAAAAACAACAAAACAAAAGTCTGCTTTTGTCCCCAACCGCTGTCAGCTGAAGCTACACGTACACTCTAATTGTGTTGGAAACACTTGGTGATTGGGCAATTTCAGCCCCTTAACTAGCGAGATGCAACGACACGCCACGACAAAACATCATCTATCTCCGTCCAAGCAGTGCTCAAACATTTATCTAAATTAGTCTGCACCGAGTTTGAAAGAGAGACTGAATAAGCAAGAGATGAATAAAAAGGATTAAACACATCACGTTTTCATTGGCCTAGTCTGAGTGGCCGGAAGTTCGCTGCATAGATCAGCCTCTCATTGGGCGGAAAGAGCCACCCGCTGAAGTCCCGCCCTACCACCTCTGGTTGTGTAGCAGTTTTCAACACATGCTTTAATAACTTTTGTGGTGTTTGATCTTGCGGGGATGTAGCCATTTTTCTGCCATGGTTCGCGTCCTGTAGGCGATATTTTTGTGGGCGTGTTACACCAAAACCTGTTTCCCCCCAGCAATATTTTTTGCAAGCGCACCGTTGCTGTGGCACCGCCCAGAACCACTGTGATTGGTTGAAAGAAATACAAGCAGCCGGGGCGTTTTTTTCTCCAGTCTTAAAGTGGGAGTCGGCCCAGCCAGACCTTTCTTTTCTTGAGAAAGGACTGGTGAGCGAGACTATCATTGGCCTCCATACTCTTACTGTTTACTAACTTTCTGGCCTGTCCGTGACGTTGAACGTGACACTAAAAAGTACCCCACACACACTCAGAAAGGCATATTTGTCATACACCCACTAATTTTGATTAAAGACTTTCTCTGCATCTCTTGCTTATTGTTTTGACTTCATGGCGTTCAAGTTCACTCATTTGCCTCAGCTCATATCAATCATGCAGCAGCGTTTTTTAAGTAAAAACAAGAAGTACTCTTTTTAACCTACTGTACACAACCTGCCAGGATCAAACAGCACAGACAAAATTAGTGACTAGCTTGTGAACATAGTGGACCATTTCCAGCCAAAGCAAATATTTTTCGCAGAACTTGGTGGGGACCAAAACTGAGCTGGAGAATGCGTATTGGAATTATATTTTCCAGCACAACACCTTAAAAAGGCCATGATTTAATCAAATGTATGTGCTGTTTAGGTTGTTTTGGAGTTCTACCACCACGTGACTTTGTAATGCAAAATGAACTATATATATTTTTGATCTGTACAGAGAGGTTGGAAAGTATTAAGAGATGGGCTAACATTGTTGGTTTTTGTATTTTTATGGGGTTTTTTGACAGAAAGAAAAGTATGTAAATAATGCCAATATTATTCCACATTTTTTCTAGGTTGTTACTCATTACAAAGTAAATCTGCATATATTGAAATAAACTAATAAATTACCAACATCCTACAGCCTCACTAACAAGGCTTACGAAGCTTTTACTCACACTCTCTGGTAATTTGCTCATTAATTGTGCCTTTATCAGTTGGTCATACACTGCACCATTACTGTCTTGTGATACTTTCTGTTCAGGACATCAGCATCCCATGCATAATGACAGACAACGTCCAGGAGTTTGGAGATGGAGATAACACTGATTTTGAGACAGTGTTTGTCCTCACAGACTTTGATTCTCCCGACTACAGCTACCTCTACAAACGTGACAACCGTATCGTTGGGCCTCCTGTTGTGCTGCACTGTGCTGCAAAGGAGGAAGTAAGTCATTGATTCACGGTATATTTATTTTAATTTGTTGGATATGAAATATGTCACAGACTAGATTCACAGACATGATGTAATCAAAAAGTAATTAAATTCACTTGTATATGTCAAATAACAGTATTCCCCACCTTGGTCTAAAGCAAGGCTTCTTAAACCTTATCAAGGTGAAGTTTAAATGAAGAATTTACAGCTTTACTATTAAATTCTCACTCTGAGAAATGTTTTCCATTTTAATGTGGGGAGAACCGACCAGAGACAGGCCAGAGATGAACCTTGATTTCAAAAAGCAGGATGCAAAAAATACATTATGGCTTTGAACAGGATGGTGAACAGGAACTGCTTCTGCCTGCTGTGCCGTCTGTCTAAAAGAGACTTCACACAGGATGCTAATGTCAAACATGAACCATATGCCTTGACTGTGGCGTCTGTCAACAAGACAAAGCGCTCTGCATGTTTGTCAACCGAAGCACACATACACATACACACAGGTTTAGACTGCATTGCAGAGATGTATATCTCTTGATAATAACTGAAATGGTCTGAGGCCATTTTGCAGTTTTTCATTCATGTCAGACATTTATCTGACCTGAAAACTATTAGGTGTTGGAGTCACTATTCAGCCTTTTTTTTTTTTTTTTTTTTTAACTGTACTGGTTTAATTTATTCGTCATATTAAGACTGAACAAAAATTCACTTTTGTTTTTGCTCCCATTTTTACAGGTATAAGGCAAAGATCTAAGACTTTCTTTTATGCACTCAATAGATAGTCACAATAAAAGGCTACTCTAAATTGTGCAGTTTGATCACACAACAATGCCACAGATATCCCAAGTTTTAAGGGAACGTTTCATTGGTATGCTGACTGCAGGAATGTCCACCAACTGAATGTTCATTTCAGTACCATAAGATGTCTCTATTGTCATTTCCCTGAATTGGGCAGTGCATTCAACTGACCTCACAACCACACAAGTCAGTTACCATGACAAACTGCTGTCAGGTCAAGGCCCCGGTGAGGACGACAAGCATGCAGATTAGCTTCCCTGAGACGGTTTCTGACAGCTCGTGCAGAAATTCTTCTGTCGTGCAAACCAATTATTGTATCTGCTGTCCGGGTGGCTGGTCTCAGATGATCTTGCAGGTGAAGGTGCTGGATGTGGAGGTCCTGAGCTGGTGTAGCTACATGTGCTCTGTAGTTGTGGGGCTGGCTGGATGTACTGCCAAATTTACGGAAACGACATTGAAAGATGTCTTATGGTAGTGAAGTGAATGTTCAGCTCATAGGCAACAGCTCTGGTATTCAAACAATTATATAGAATCCATGTTGAGTTAATTAATACATGTCAAACGCTGCAGTAGTATTTTCAGTGGTCTGCCACTGAATTGTTAATTATACTGTTAACAGAAAAAATATCATTTAGAGTGTTTAAATGTAATTTGATGTCTTTATTGCGCTGATTTCTGCTTTTTGCCCTCCTAGCCTCTACAGTTTTCATGTCGTCCTCTCTACTCCACCACAATGCTTAACCTGTCGCTGTGTTTCACTGGCTTCAGGAACAAAGAGGAAATGGTGAGTATATTAACGTAGTGGGACACTTACTAATAGGATGTTTCCGTGGTAGGCTGAAAGTCATGCTAAGCCATGCTGGGAACGGCCTACTATGTCATGTGTCTGTTTTTTCATGGCATGGTCTTCTGTTTATAGGAAAATGCAGCAAGATCCTGTTGTCTGTAGCTTTTAATCTAACATCTTGCCGTGGCTATTTCTGCTTGCACCATTCCTCCATGCAATATTTGAAACCAATTGGCTGACCGACATTTGCCTAACATGTTCATTTTTGTTATATAGACCTGTTTTTTATTGAAGAATGGCACCACTACCACAGATTTGGTGATCATAATGTGAAGCAGCAGCAGCAGCTCACTCGGGTTAGCTGCGGGGGGGCCTCACATGTTTGCGTTACGGTACTGATCAGCTGATTATTACAGATATATTGGTATGCATATATTTGCTCAGTTGCCAGTTTATTAGGAACACCTACTCTAAAATTAGGCTAATACAACAGCCTGGCAATAAAAACTCTTTCCTTAAGGTTATCATTTTCAATTCTTAGAGACATTTTTTAATTGTCATTTTGGCAGCTACAATTGTGATTCTATTTAATTATTATTTAATGAGAACACTAAATACTAGAAACACTGGATATAATGCAATACAGTTCAACAGTACTGCAAACAAGAGCCATCAAAATATCCATAAAGTTGAATCAACACCTCAAAAACATAAAAAAACCCCTGAAAATTAAAACCTTAATGAAAGTAGAATTTTACTCCAAGTCTGTTATACGAGTTGTATAAGGATTGTATTACAAGTTCAAAGTAGTTGTACCTAATAAAGTGGCAAAAGTATGTTGGCCAATAAAACCCCATTTCCACCAAACACTTTCGGTATGGTACCTTTGGAACCCTTCCACATAGTGTTTCCACCGCAGACAGTCCTCTTTGATGTGGGCGGGGTTGTTGTCACTAACTGCTCCGTCCAGCACTCACTGTATTTCCTCCTTTATCAGTCTGCACCTTGGTTATCGTCCACAGAATGGGGTTGCATGCTGACATTTTCAGAACAAAATAGAACAGGCTGGAGTGAGAGTCTCTCTCAGTGGGATGTTTAAAAATAGCGCGTTTGTGCATTAAGTCCTTCTAAAGCCCCGTTTCAGCTGAGCAGTACTTTTCAGTTCGGTACTCTCTTTTTCCGTTTCCACTGCAAAAAGTTGTGGATAGTAATAAAGCAAAAGAGAAATGGGAAAAGGAATTTAAAAAAAGATACATCAGCAGAAGATTGGAAGCATTCTTTAGGTGAACATGTTAAAACCTCACAATCGAAATTCTGGAGGGAGTTCGCATGGAAAGTGAGCATGAGATATTTCATTATGTCTGACAAACTAAGGAAGTTTTGCCCTGGAGAAGAGACTAGATGTTGGAGAGGATGTGGGGAACATGAAGTAAATTATTTACACTCTTTCTTTACTTGGATTAATAGCAATAGAAAAACATGTGGCGTATGTCACCTTGCTATTTATTTTCCCTCTTTGAGTTAAGCTTGTGCTGTTTTTTTGTTTTTTTTTCATGTAGAAGAACTTGGTGAATCTGGTTCATCACATGGGTGGGACCATCCGGAAAGATTTCAGCACCAAGGTTACTCATCTCATTGCCTACTCCACTCATGGAGAGAAATACAGGGTTCGTATATGCTTGCTTTTTTGTTTACTCTGATTTTGTTTTAATCTTACTGTGTGTTTTCTGATATCATACTACTGTGCAGTTGGACTGGGTAATATTGTTGTGCCCTCATTTCTAATGATGTCGAGAGTAGTTTTAAATTGACCAACAGGTAAAATTGTATTATAAGTTTTAATTAGTGTTGTAAAATGTTCCAGGTGTGCGCCACAAAACTAAAAGTACTTTTCCCAATCCAAGACTGATGACTTTCTCCCTGATTTTGTGTTTAGATGGGCGGATACAATTTCAGAGTTTAAAAAAAACTCCCTACGTTGCAGAACCAATAGTAAATCTGCAGGGCGGTCCTTCCGTGGCTCGCTGAACTCTTGTGCTCGTAAACATAGTCCGACTAGAAACACGTGTAGTGGTACAAAATGGCTCAAGTCGCTGTAAGTCCTTCATTTCCACAATCTTGTGGACTGAGCACACGTTTGATAAAACGGAGTTAAATCTCTCAGCATCCATTTTCAAGCTCTCTGTGTGTTTGTTTGTTTGTGTGTGAGAAAAGGGGAGCGCACATTTCCGGGAGGGCGTGTCCTTTTCAGAAATGCAAGAGGCGTTGCTTTGTTGCTGGCCGTTTTCTCCAGTGTGTTAAACACACTTTAGAAAGGAGTGTCCCCAGACTATCAGAAGGCGGAGGGTTCTGATTGTCTGGTGGCGAGACTACTGAATGACAGGTCAATCAGGAGTAATGAAAACAGGGTAGGCAGATTGTTCTGTGAGCATTGACAGCGGAACAATTTGGAGGTCTAATATAGTTTTTAAGTGGTACATAGATAAATGTCATGCCTGTTTTCTGATATTATTAGGGATGCAACGATAGATTAAAATGTCTCAATACTGATGTGGGTGTGTGATGTTATCTGCAAAGGTATTACATGTAAGGTGCAATATATTGATTATGCTCGATATATTGCGGCTTGTTCCACGTGGGATGTATGAAATGACAAAGCCAATAGCATTAGACTTGCTTCAGCGTTTTGCTTCTTTCGCCTTCTCTCTCCCTCTCACAGACACAAAAAAAGAAGAACAAAAGACTTACAAACATAATGCGTCAAACACACTCCTCCGCCCATCCAGACCACTCTCACCTGGGCAATACTTTGAGCAGTCAAGGCATGTGCTTTGGATCAGCAGGGCTCCACACCGCGACCATTTAGTTGCATTTTGCGACCATGGAGCTCAAGTGCAACTTGCTGATATTAATAATATATAAACTGGAGAGCTGTGTTTCCAGCTCACAGTGAATAAATCCTCACTTTTGATGGTGCCATGGTTACAGTTTAACTTTCTGCTAATTACTAACAACGAACTGTTGACTGGAAGCTTAAAGGCACTGTATTTAAGAATGTGGCCACAACGGTTACTGCACTCAAATTCAAAATACTGCCGCAAGTCGTGTCGGCCCCCCCTCCCCTACAGATTCGAGGTTGCTGGAAAGCGGCATGCTGGAGACTGATTTGTTTGCCCACGGGTGGCTGCCGTGGCAGGGCCGCGTTGCCACGTCCTTGATCTTCGGTTTTCCAGCGGACCGTTCGAGCAAGTCCAGTTTCTCTGCTGCTTACGCTAAAGTCCACAGCAAAATCATACAGAAACACTTCCGGCCCGAGATGAGTCAGATGCTTCAAAATTAAAGCACCAGTGGCTGTGCTTTTATTTATTTCATTATAACACTTTTTTTTTACTTAATCATAACAGTACTTAAACTTTATTATAACAGTACTTTATTTATCTTTGTTATAACAATACTGCATTAAACGTCATTATCATAGTACTTTAACTTTATTAAAACAGTTCACTCACAGAGGCGGACTTAGACCATAGACTGTGTAAAATAAGGCTCAAACCTAACAAGAAAATGGAAGCACATCCCATCAGATGTATTATTTAATAAGACTCATTTTTTCACCTCATCATTTTTCTTTGTTAATATTGTGATCAATTTTGCATTGTGGACTCTATTGTGATATTATCATGCCGTGAGTTTTATGTATCGTTACATCCCTAGTTATTACATCTCCCTTGGTCTTTCTCACCTCTTGGTTGCACATTTTCTCATTTGTGTTTTCCTTTCCTTTCCTCTCTCTTTACTTTCTTTTTTTGCCCTTATGTTTCAGCTGGCAGTGTGCATGGGGACTCCCATTCTCACTCCATCGTGGATTCACAAGGCCTGGGAAAGAAGAGATGATGTGTAAGTTTAATGAAAGAGGCCTTTGCAAAATTCAAAGCTGCTCTCCTTTATTACAGATTTTCTCTGCATATATGACTTTGTGAATGTGAAAAGTTACCTGGGCCAACCAGTGTGAGGACTTCTCTTGTCCAGGTTGACAGTGAAATACAGTTATTCTTGACTGTTGCCTGCTCTATGTCCCTTTCTGCTGTGTTTCTGTACTCAGTGAAAAAATATTTGTGAGAAAAAAAACACCACTGTCTGACATTGCTGTAAAATTGATCAGCAACATTTTGGCACTGCTCAGGAGCCGTTACTTGTGTTTTAGCTGTATTTATACATGGGCACAGTGCTTAACAAGTAAAGTAACCACTTGCTGGACACGTGAAATTTTAAGTCAGCCCCAGCCATGCTCTGGGTTCACTGTTGTATCTTAAATGTGTATGTCATGTTCAAGAAAACATGACAGAAAATCTGAAACACTGTCTGCACCACACTTTAAGCCCAGTTCAGATCAAAGATTTGCAATGAGACGAGACTCACAATGGATCATTTTATAACATTATAAAAACCTGCCGGTTCACACCAATGCAACTAGATTAGACAGTGTATCCGCTCTATGCAACAACTATCTAGCTTCTGTTGTGATTTCCAGCTTTTCAGGCTTATATTGTGGCTGAATATAATTTGTAGCTTCTTAAAATATGAATTTGGATGGTGATAGTGAGATACTGGCTACAGTTGCATTTGTAGTGGTGTTGAAACGGTGAAAAACAGAAACTAAACTAGAAAAGCACTCGGAGAGCGCAGACCTCCGCCGAGCAGCTCGGATTTCCCGCCATTTTATTATTTTATCCACTTCGCTTCAACCGATCGCCACCAAATTTTTATCATCTGTCCCTTGTCCCATTATCAACCTTTCCTGAAGATTTCATCAAAATCCGTTCAGAACTTTTCGAGTTATTTTGCAGACAAACAGACCAACGCGGGCTAAAACATAACCTCCTTGGCGGAGGTAACAAGCATCAGATGGACTTTATTCACAATAAATAAATAACAATTATATGAATAACCAGCATCAATTAATCAGTCAATGAGACTATGGGCTCTAGTTTTGCAGGGCAAGGTGGGGGCGCAGCGCACCTGCACTTCGCCAACTCGGTGTGGCCAGGTGGATTTTGCAAGTTTGGCACACCGCTCGCGCTGGCGCAGCTACTCCTCTCTCCCACCTCTGTCCCTCCTACCTGCAAATTCAATTTCAACAATACACACATGCACAAACTGGACATATACAGTACAGGCCAAAAGTTTGGACACACCTTCTCATTCAATGCGTTTTCTTTATTTTCATGACTATTTACATTGTAGATTCTCACAGAAGGCATCAAAACTATGAATGAACACATGTGGAGTTATGTACTTAACAAAAAAAGGGGAAATAAGTGAAAACATGTTTTATATTCTAGTTTCTTTAAAATAGCCACCCTTTGCTCTGATTACTGCTTTGCACACTCTTGGCATTCTCTGGATGAGCTTCAAGAGGTAGTCACCTGAAATGGTTTTCCAACAGTCTTGAAGGAGTTCCCAGAGGTGTTTAGCACTTGTTGGCCCCTTTGCCTTCACTCTGCGGTCCAGCTCACCCCAAACCATCTGGATTGGGTTCAGGTCCGGTGACTGTGGAGGCCAGGTCATCTGCCGCAGCACTCCATCACTCTCCTTCTTGGTCAAATAGCCCTTACACAGCCTGGAGGTGTGTTTGGGGTCATTGTCCTGTTGAAAAATAAATGATCGTCCAACTAAACGCAAACCGGATGGGATGGCATGTCGCTGCAGGATGCTGTGGTAGCCATGCTGGTTCAGTGTGCCTTCAATTTTGAATAAATCCCCAACAGTGTCACCAGCAAAACACCCCCACACCATCACACCTCCTCCTCCATGCTTCACAGTGGGAACCAGGCATGTGGAATCCATCCGTTCACCTTTTCTGCGTCTCACAAAGACACGGCGGTTGGAACCAAAGATCTCAAATTTGGACTCATCAGACCAAAGCACAGATTTCCACTGGTCTAATGTCCATTCCTTGTGTTTCTTGGCCCAAACAAATCTCTTCTGCTTGTTGCCTCTCCTTAGCAGTGGTTTCCTAGCAGCTATTTGACCATGAAGGCCTGATTGGCGCAGTCTCCTCTTAACAGTTGTTCTAGAGATGGGTCTGCTGCTAGAACTCTGTGTGGCATTCATCTGGTCTCTGATCTGAGCTGCTGTTAACTTGCGATTTCTGAGGCTGGTGACTCGGATGAACTTATCCTCAGAAGCAGAGGTGACTCTTGGTCTTCCTTTCCTGGGTCGGTCCTCATGTGTGCCAGTTTCGTTGTAGCGCTTGATGGTTTTTGCGACTCCACTTGGGGACACATTTAAAGTTTTTGCAATTTTCCGGACTGACTGACCTTCATTTCTTAAAGTAATGATGGCCACTCGTTTTTCTTTAGTTAGCTGATTGGTTCTTGCCATAATATGAATTTTAACAGTTGTCCAATAGGGCTGTCGGCTGTGTATTAACCTGACTTCTGCACAACACAACTGATGGTCCCAACCCCATTGATAAAGCAAGAAATTCCACTAATTAACCCTGATAAGGCACACCTGTGAAGTGGAAACCATTTCAGGTGACTACCTCTTGAAGCTCATGGAGAGAATGCCAAGAGTGTGCAAAGCAGTAATCAGAGCAAAGGGTGGCTATTTTGAAGAAACTAGAATATAAAACATGTTTTCAGTTATTTCACCTTTTTTTGTTAAGTACATAACTCCACATGTGTGCATTCATAGTTTTGATGCCTTCAGTGAGAATCTACAATGTAAATAGTCATGAAAATAAAGAAAACGCATTGAATGAGAAGGTGTGTCCAAACTTTTGGCCTGTACTGTACATGCACAAAGTGGAGAGATGTTAGAGTGGGCTGCCCATGACAGGCGCTCTGAGCAGTTGGGGGGTTTGGTGCCTTGCTCAGGGGCACTTCGGCAGTATTTATTGCATTATTAATGTGCCTGATATTCTGGAAACCTGCCTGTGAGGTTTTGGCGACGTGTGCGCACTGTCCGCCGGTCAGCCAAACTTCAGCTTACACCGGCTGCGCTCCCCCTGCGCTGACAGTAGACCTGGTTTCAGCTGGCGAGCTTTTAGCGCACCTTTTGTGAAGCCTTTTGGCTCTAAACTGTCACTGCTTCAAGCTGTTTCTGTTTACACCTCCCCCTGCTGCTCCGCCACACCCATCTCAGCGCACCTCGGTCTGCCAAACTACCAAACTGAGCGCGCCTCAGGTTGCGCTGCTCGAAACTAGCTCCCTGCACCACGCCGGGAAACTAGAGCCCCGAGTGTGTGAGGGGGCATGAGCTCATACAGCGAGCAGCAGCAGTGACCCACCGTCTGACACCAACACATAGTGAGGACAGAAACAGATGGCTCAGCAGGGACGGAGCACCTGCCGCAGCAAGCGAAAAAAAACAAAAACAAAAAAAACAAAACAAAAATAACATTGGCACTTGTATATATAAAAAACTAAACATAAATTGATGCGCACAATGACTGAGTAGTAGTAGATAACCATGATGTAGTATGTAAGGACAGAGACTGTGATGTTAAAGGCAGATGCAAAAAGGTGTGTTTTGAGTTTACTTTTGAAGGAATCGACTGTGTTGGCTTCACGGATTTGAATGGAAAGGCGGTTCCAGAGGAGAGGGGCTCGGTATGAGAAGGCTCTACCACCTGCTGATGATTTATTAATTTGGGGATGGATAGGAGACCGAGGTTATGGGATTGTGGAGGCCTGATTGATAAATGTGGAGTAAGTAGAGATGATAAGTAGGATGGTGCAAGTTCGTGTAATATTTTATAAGTTAAAAGTAGAATCTTGAAGTCCGATCTAGTGTGTACAGGGAGCCAGTGTAATGAAATGAGAACTGGGGTGATATGGTCAGATTTTCTGGTTCTGTTTAATATCCTGGCAGCAGTATTCTGAACGAGCTGTAGTTTCCTAATAGTTGAATTTGGTAAGCCAGAGAAAAGTGTATTGCAATAATTTAATCAGGATGAGACAAAAGCGTGAACCAGTGTTTCTGCATCAGTCATGGAGAGAATGGGATGAATCTTGACAATATTACGTAGGTGAAAATATGCTTTTTTTGTTATATTATTAATATGGTCTTCAAAAGAGAGATTAGGATTGAATAAAATACAGAGATTTCTAACACGGGGGCATTGTGAAATGATGACCAGCTAAGTTTAAGGTGAGATTGCAGAATTTGTTTCTGATGTGCTTTAGGCCTAGGATTAACATTTCAGTTTTTTCAGTATTTAAGAGAAGGAAGTTTGATGACATCCATTGTTTGATTTCTTGTGTGCACTGTTCTAGATCGATCAGTTGATGAGGTGTCAGGCTTGATGGATATGTAGAGCTGAGTATCGTCTGCGTAGAAGTGGGAATCTAATTTGTATTTATTAATTAATGAACCGAGGGGTCGCATGTAAATAGCAAAGAGAATGGGACCAAGCACAGACCGTTGTGGTACACCATAATTGACCTTTTGCGTTCTGAAGAGCAGTTATTATGAAAAACAAAGTGAGATCTGTCGGTAGGGTAGGATTTGAACCAGGCAAGAGCAGAGTCGGTGAGTCCTATGTAGTTTTCTAGACAGTGGAGTAGAATATGGTGATCAAGTGTATCAAACGCTGCGCTGAGGTCTAGTAGCAGCAGTCCTGAAGCTGTCGGAATCGGAGGCGAGTAGTAAATCATTGACCACTTTTGTCAGTGCGGTTTCTGTACTATGGAATTTTTTGAAACGGGATTGATGAGGGTCGTATAGATTATTGAATGAGAGGTGATCAGTGAGTTATCGGGCTACTGCTTTTTCTGGGATTTTTGAAAGAACAGGGAGATTTGTAATTGGTCTGTAATTATTGATTACATCAGGGTCCAGGTTATGTTTCTTGAATAGTGGCTTGATTACACCTGTTTTAAAAGATGCAG